TTGGAATTTGGTACACCTATTACATACTGTCTCTATGTTGATCAAGAAGATGGTATATTCATTATTCCAGATTTTTGGGAATGAATGAATTTTTCTTTTAAGCTATCTGATAGGAAAATTTCAAGAAGCAGTGACATTTTGGGGCAAATCATCTGATTATAACTTATTATTGTATGAACACATCCTATTTGACATATCTCAATGATTTACTACAAGACCTGTTATGATCCAAAGCTTTTATAAGATGTGTTAATGAAACTTAGTGGCAAAACTTGAAGAATACAAAAAAATATATATACTCAGAATTATCACATACTTATCTGAAAAAAGAGCTCCTAGGCATATATGTTTTCATGAAACTTTCCTCCTAAACTTCTGGTGAAGTTCTCATACAAAAAACTGACTCACTCTGTAATACCTGAATGAAAGTTTCTTGTAACATTGTCAGTGACCTTGGAATGAAAGGGATGAACTAAAACCGACTAAAACACTAATATATTCATTTCAACTAACTTTTATTATAAATATTGGCTGTATGTTAATGGATGAGGTAAAATATTCATGAGACTATTCATTTCTCTCCTCCGCCATTTGGCACAAAGGCTTAAGAATTAGGGGAAACTGGAACCACCATATTTCAGTGAAGGCAGGAGTCACCCTCTAGGCGGGACACACCCCAACTTCAAAATATCAAATGGCACTACCTCTTTTGTGACACCTCAAATGAAAGGACTGATTTAGTAGTGTTCACCTGTACAAGAAATTTTGTTTTCATTCAACACAGGATGGCATAAAAACATTTTCCATAAATGAATTGTATTGTGTTAAAATTATATTTTATTTGATCAGATGTTGAAAATACATTCCATTCTGTTGAAAGCCATAGTATAATCAATTTTCAAATTGCATTCTAACATTTTGGAACACATCTCTTGGAATAGATCTGCATTCTGCAATAATTCGTTGTGGAAAACAAGAATGGAATTCAAAATCAATTGTACCTACTATTGTTTAGAATTGAATGGAATGCACTTTGAGCATATGATCAAAAAAATATCATTTCAACAGAATACAATTTACTTTTTTCTGTGACGGGAAAAAAGTTTGGTATTTCATCTCTGTTGGCAGGTTATAAAATGTCACTTTTCACAAATTACTTTTTTCCCGTGGGAAAAAAGTTAGTACTTTTTTCCCGGATATATATCACATATATATATACTCTGTTAATGGCTTTTGTTATGCTATAGTTCCGAAAAATGAGTCAATAATACCGTCTCTGAGAAAGAATTGCAAGTCCTTTTATCTTCCATTCGACTTCGCGGTTTCCTATATTACTAAACAACTACTGAATTCGCAATTTTTTAAAATCAAATCACAGAATTGAACTGACAGAAGTGACATCAGATATTTGATTAGGTACTTCAAAAGAATAATAAAGATGTCTATAAAACGCAGGTGTCCCTACTGTTAAAAACTTGAAATTTCACGTCGATAATTTTCAGATTTCGAAATAATGTGATATCTTCTCAATATTGATTCGTCCTTCCTTCTGTCACAGAAAAAAATAGTGTATTATACACGGGAAAAATATTAGATTTTAGCTCACGGTTTTTTCCCTTGTATAATAAATAACTATATTTACTCCAAAATGTTTTCGTGTCACCCTTTCTTGGATCAACAAATTCTTGTACAGGTGAATACTTTTAATTGAAACCTTTTCATTCCAGGTATTACAAACGAGGTACTTAGTGCCATTTGACATTTTAAAGTTGGGGTGTATCGTGCCTTCACTGAAATAGGGTGGTTCTAGTTCCCCCTAACTCTTCAGCCTCTCCCAGCAAACACAATTATGTAATATTGACACGTGTTACATAATTGACAATACATGTTATGTATATACAGGATATGTCACGACGAGCTTACACAATCTTTACATGGAGAATCGGTCGAGAGAAATCCATGAATATGTTTCAGAATACGCTCTCTTCATTTAAAATGTTTTCGACGATGCAGTGTTGCCGCTTCTAATAGAAAGTAGTAGCAACATTGATATTTCAAATGAAACATCCTGTATTTTATCGCATTTTTCGATTCTCCCTGAAGAGCTGATTTCATCAATGCATAACACTTGGGTTCTATAGAAAATGATTACAGAGATATAGGGTGTTCAAAATCGAGATTTCTCAAATTTAGGATTTTTTTGTGAGAAACTATTCATTATCGGTCAAAATGAATCACATGTCCCTATCCCTACTTTTGATTGATTATTTACTGATATTTAATCGAAACGGATACAGAGTGGTTCAAGATTCAGAATTCTAATCACCCTGTATCTGTTCCGATTAAATATCAGTAAACAGTAAATCAAAAGTTGAGATAGGGACATATGTGATCCGTTTTGGCCGATAATGGTTGGGCAAAAGTATGGAACCAGGTGAATATTGTCAAGAAATACAAATGTCTCAGAAATAACTTTCGTTCATTTCCAGATCTTTATTCATAAATTAACTTTTCCAAATCAAAACATCTTGTACAGTGTTTCGATCAGGTCAAAGCGGAGTTCATAGACTCTAGTTCCGGTAAAATTTGCATGAAACCGCTTAGCTTGCGATCCGGGCTAAGCTATACGCCCGGTATCGAGCATTGCCATTGCGGAAAATTGCAATGTTAGCATCGATTCCAAATATAAATAGATTCCGAATCGATAAGCCATTCATTACTGATTTTTCATTATTATTGATTCATTATTACTGATTATTCATTAGTGATTACTGATTACTGATTACTAATTCATTACTATTATAATGCATTTCGATAACACTTTACTTGATTCCGTAATTGAGTTACTTATTCACGAGGTGCTGCCAAAATGTGTACCGTCTTCCCGACTTTGATCCTGCTGGTCAACCCCATGTTAGATGTCATGATGTAAGTACTGTTTTCCATGTTCTATCTGATTTGTTTTTCCTGTGTTGTGTTCCGTTTGGTAATTACTATGGTTTGTCTCTGCTACTTTGCCATGTGGCAAGCATTTATTCACGTCTTTCCCATTAAATCAATAAATGTTAATTTTATACGAAAACTATCTTGACTCTTCATTTGGGGATGAATATGGTTGGGTGGTAAAATGATCAAAATCCTCTCATCAAGCCAAGCGAGTAGCCAAGTTGCGATCCATAGGAGGGCAACATCTGAGTTGCGACATGTGGTGGACACGCCGTTTGCCAAATAATCTACCAAAACCATCTGAGTTGCGACAATATCTCGATAACCGTTTGTTGATTTTTTTTAAATATTTGTACATGGTGATTTCAAAATGTGGTGGACTTGAAAATATTATCGTCGATGTTGCCACTTTTTCAGTTATTCCGAAATTATTATTAACTTTCTCATTTAAAATAGAACACCCTGTATTTAATTGAATTTTCAGATTCTCCTTGAAAAGCTGATTTCATTGATTCATCACACTTGGGGTCTAGCAAAAATGATTACTGAGATATAGGGTGATCAAAATCGAAATTTTTCAACTTTAGGATTGTTTGCGTCGAAACTATTCATTATCAGTCAAAACGGCTTTCATGTCCCTATCTCAACTTTTGATTTACTATCTATTGGCATTTAACACATTGATTGCCAAGCCCATATCTGGAGTTTATCCCACGGGGCCAAAGGTACATTTTAGTTCCATTCATGAATTTTCACTTCCAAAAATCAAGTTTGACCCTTAAAAGTCATTATTGATTTTTTTTTCATCCATTTTGTTTGTTTTTCGATGTCATTCATATATGAATGACGTGGCCTCCCATGTTAGCCTAAAGAGTTATTTCACCACGCTGGGCCACGTCATTCAAATATGTATGACGAATATGATGATTGTTTTTTTTCTACTAGCGTGCGAAAAAAAAAACACTTTTCCGCACCCATTTCAGTGTTGAAAGAGTCATTTTTCCGCACTAGTGCGGAAAAAACTCCACAGTGAAATGAGTGCGGAAAAGAGGAATTTATTTTTCCGCACGCTAGTAGAAAAAATAGTGTGCCTAACACATGCGGAATAGTATCACTTTCCGCACTTGTTAGGTAAACTACTATTTTTCATTATTATGTAATATTAGTTTCACTGTTTTTACGATGAATAAACCTTTTCATATATGATTTTTGTATTTTATTGTCTTGCATCACGATCTATCAAAATTTGCTCTGGCCAAATATGCCTGTGACTTCCTTGGAGGCCACACATTCATATCCCCTTCTGAATTGCATTGGCTATCATTCATATTCGTATGACACGGCCTCACAACAAAAATATGTCGTCATACATATATGTATGACGCGGCCTAAACGGAAGTGGTAGTGTCATTCACATATGTATGACGTGGCAATCAATGGGAACAGATACAGGGTGATCAGATTTCTGAATCTTGAACCACCCTGTATTTGTTTCAATTAAATTTCGGTAGATAGTAAATCAAAAGTTGCCGTTCAGACCAATAAAGAATAGTTTCGACACAAAAAAATTTTCAAGTTGAAACATCTCGATTTGAACACCCTATATATCTCAGTAATCATTCTTGCTAGACCCCAAGTGTGATGAATCGATGAAATCAACTTTTCAGGGAGAATCTGAATATTCAATGAAATACAGGGTGTTCCATTCAAAATAAGGAAGTTGATAATAATTCCGGAATAACCGAAAAAGTGGCAACATCGACGTAAAATTTTCAAAAATCCACCACGTTTTGAAATCACCCTGTTCATGTATTCAAAAAAAATATAACAGAAGGTTACCGAGATATTCACCTGGTTCCATACTTTTGCCCAACCCTGTATAAGTATGCATATTTCTATATGTAAGTTAGATTATTGTAGTATTTTAAAAACTATGATACACATTGAATGAAGAAGATGAACATAGCCTGAAAATAAGGAATACCATGTGTAGTTAATCAATGCCGTGTGATTAGCAAATCGTAACACACTGTATGTAGTGAATGAAGACAACGTTAACAGAAAAACCAACATATATTTTCACAATTTGCTGTATCATATTAGTATTTCATCTCCCATCATTGCAGGTCTTTATCAGTCTAGACCCTAGAAATTTCGGAAAGTAGTGAAGATACAAAGACATGGATTAAAAAGAGTTTCAGTTATTCTTATGCTGAATATCAATTTGTGAAGGAATTGGATCTGATTTTATTTGGAACAGAAAAACCTGAAAAACAGTATGTATTGTGTAAAATTTGGCAATTTTATCTTTTTCATTTTTTGTCATTTAGGTTGTGTGTTGTATACCACAATTTGATTAATTATCAGTTCCAGAGGGATCAGTTAATGAGTGTAACAGATAAATAAAGTCACTTTTGGTATTTCCACTATATAAACAACATCAAATATACAACTTTATTGAATGCAACCAACTTTGTATCACTTCTATTCACGAAAACCCAATGGTGAGAGAGCAGGAGAAAGATAAAAAAAACGATCTGTGTATTTCAAATATTATACAATACTCGATGTAAGAATCAGTTCTTTAAAAACAGTGGATCATGTAGTTACGTCCATTCAAGTGAATAAATTCTTCAGTTTCCCTTTATCTTCAGAATCCTTAATCTTGATTTGCTTTTCAAGTTGACATAATTCTTTTTGCACCAGCACTTCTAGAGACTTGTCAAGTTCAATTACCTTGGCATAATCTATTTTTGCTTCATGAACATTCCACGCACCAACATGTGCTTTTGCTCGTCTGAAATATGCTTTTACATTTTCTGAAAATAAAGAGAAATAGGTATGTATTCAATATTTAAAAACGTATTCAATTCCTAGTTTCGTTCAAAATGGAATTTCAAACTGTTGTTATTATACATGTAGGTAAATACCACGGGTTGAAACAACCCAAAACGGATTATTGGTTTTTCCGTCGCAAAAATTGAGTATTAATTCCGAGATTAATTCTATATCGCCTCAAAATCATCATGTTGAAATATATTAACATGGTTTAGATGTATGACAAATTGACATTCTTCATACAGGGCGTGGAAAGAAAGTCAGAATTGAGGAAACCCAATCATGAATCTGCGATTAGAGGTCAAAAAATAAAAAAATTCCATCGTTCAAGTTTGAACCCCTTGATTGGGTGTGAAACTATTGAAAATGAATATTCTCAGATATAATATGAACATGATAAAAATGGATACATATGAAGAAAAACATAATTTTCTCTATCTTACATAAATAATAATTCTTGGTACATTCAACACAAAACAACTACCTACTTCCCTGGCTATATGCCACGACTAACATTGAATTACATCTATTGAACACAACCAATAAGAATTCGAAAATAAAATCTTCTGAAGTTGAGTTTACATTCTCTTTCAGTTAAAAATATATATTATATGTATGTGATATCATTCTGAATATTCAATAGAAAACAACTGAGTACCTACTTTTCTGGCTATTTGCCACGTCGAACATTGAATTATATTTGTTGAACATCCAATAAGATAATTGAGAATTGACATTCTCTTTCAAATCAGAGAAATAGTCTGATGTATAATGATTTTTGAAGCTTTAAACTCACCAGGATCAGATAGTTTGCACAAGTATTCATTTCTGAAAGAGAATGTCAATAATTCTCAATTTCAGAATATTTTTATTTTCATATCCTCCTCTTGGATGTTCAACAAATATAGTCGGGAATTCAAGTGACGCAAAATAAATGAGGAAATTCAAAAATGATTTTTATTCCCAGATTAATCAAGGGCGAGCGATATTTTTTTCAAAAAATCTCCAGGATACATCTCATACGGAAGCCACTGGTAGACAAATCGAAAAATCTCCTGCATCTAATCTATTGGGGCTTGGTAGGTGCGCATGTCAAATTTCATGGAAATATCTAGAAATAAGGTATTGGTTATGATAAGAAAACGGATTTTTTCTTAAAATCTGAACACCCTATAGCTCGAACATAAGTCGAGGTTTAGGGCATATAAGCGTTTCTTCCCGAAACGAGCTAAGGAAAAACCATATCCTTTATTTTCAGCCATCAATTGAATCACAACCTGTATATTCATTAAGTCGCGGTTATAGTAACCTACTTATATCAGAGTCACTGGATAGTATTGTTAGATAAGAGTTCGGACACAGAAATAACAACTGTTAGTGTTTTGGAATGTTTAGATTTATCAAGCGCTACTAGGGAAATTGAAAAGACAAAGGGCAGAATATATGTTTTATTCTTTTATGCACTCAAACCATTGTGATATAGAAAATAGAAAAGGAGAGAAGTTGATCTGTGTCCGAACTCTCACCTAAACTAATACCATCCAGTGACTAATTTATATTACATATTAACCCCTATAAGCTCACTTTTATCTGACTTGATCACTGTTGTGCAATGTTCAATGACAGCATAATAGTCTCCTTCATTCAATTTACACTGTGCATAATTCAAAAGAATGGGAATCTTCTGTTTATCTAGGTCATTCCATTCTGTATCATGGGGTTTTTCCCTAAAAATATCAAGCATGATACAAATTCAGAGAGTTTTATAATAATTACTTGAGCATCAGTTGTTCTAGCATACCAACTGCTTTTGCATATAATTCAGCAGCTTTATCATAATTCTTCTTCTTGTACTCCAAATTTCCTTGTTCTCTAAGTTGTGGAATCAAATCAATTCTTTCTTCTTCTTCCATTTGCCATGAATCTTTCTCATACTCTTCTGGTTGTTCCACCTTTAGCAATTCTGAAAGAAAAAACTCGGTAAACCTCCTAAAATGCTTTCACTCTTGCAAAAAATTCAATTATAGGATCATGACTCACCTATTATATATTCCAAATCTACCGGATTTTTCAATAAATCATTTAAATCATTGTAACCAATACCCTCATTCTGTAGAGTCATTGCACAACAATGTGTTTTTCTCTCCTCTTTGGGCCTATGAATGTCTCTTATTGTTTTTGAGACAAAAGGATACTGTACAACAAGCTGAAACAATTTCAATATTTTTTTTATGTAGCAATATAGACCGGCAGGTAGTGACAGCTTTTTGGACGTGACTTTTTTGGAGGGTATCATTATGTAGATATTTTGATGTTGAAAAATAATACATGGAAGAATCCTCCTGGGTTCTTTAGACATAATTAAGCGTTTTGATACGATTTCACTCAAGCTACCTGTGTACCAAAATGAAATCTAAGTGATGTGCATATCGCGTAGCTGAAAGAAAATACATAGGCATACCGGTTGCGTGAGGCCAAAATGTAATCACAGTCAGGTGTAGTTGAATTTAAAAAAATATGTCTCCTCTGGCTATATGCCACGCAGAACATCGGAAATCTATGCAATAATTTGTATAGACGAATAAAATCGCAAGTGTTTACTTCCTAAACGTCGAGCTGCGCCTAAATGGGTCAGGAACGCATGACTACCTGCAGACCGGTTTCTAGCTGTTGGCTCTCATCAGTACAGGGCTGTCCCAGATAACTTCTTGACCGCTATCTGGTGCGAAACTGGGCCAACGTAAACCCTCAGCATTTGTGCTTTCCACTTTGAGTATTTGGCTTTTTCCTAGTTGTAAATCTTCACTGTTTATCGACATTGACACAAATAAAGTGATATTTCATCGACTTCAAGGAAGCTTGAACCCTGTAAAAAAGTCAGCAGAACGAAACTCACACAGGGTGTATAGTGGACCCATTACACTCTGGTCTACATTTGCGATGCTGCCGGAACTCAAGAAATATTTTTATAATTGAAAGTCAGTCATAATATTATGATATATTGTGACTTCATCATATCGAGACGTTTTGGTTCGCGATTGGAAAAGAAATAATGATTTTTTTCAAAAGTCTTGTATTCCTTGGAATTTTTCTCCAGAAGTCCACTCGAACTGAAAAATGGGAAGAACTGTTTCTATGTTTTCTGGAGGTCGATGAAAGATGAATAAAGTACATAGTAGATTATACAGGGTGTAAGGAAAACATCTCATTTCCATAAAAGAAATCAAAAAACGGTGACTAAAACCATGTTCCGAAACGGCCTTCTCGATATCCATATTCAGGTGACTACTATATACTGTATACTATCTCGCGAAGTTTTTGGAAATTCACCTCAAATTGAAATACAGGATGAGATTTTTTATACTTCACATTCACGAATAACGATCGATATTTTGGATTCTACGATAGATGGTCGAGATAAAATGCTTCTTCAGAAATATTCCTTCATTGAAGAACACGTACATTAAACCGATTATTAATGAATGATGAACAATACCAATAAAGACGGTACAGTAGTCTCTGAACAATCTAACACCACAGAACTCATAATGGGCGTTCCCCAAGGCAGTGTTCTAGCACCTATGCTCTTCTCCCCTTTATATTGCTGACCTAATTGATTATCTCCCAGGGCATATGATCACTCTCTATGCTGATGACTCCTCCTTCTTGATCTCAAACGAATCCAACTGTCAGAATGAACAAGAATGCAATTCACTGCTTGCGAAAATGTACACATGGTTCTCAGCTAACCAGTTATATCTAAAACTCAGTAAAACAAATTTTCTTATATTCCATACTAAGCAAAGGACAGTTGACCCACTGACATTACATTTAAACCTCTCTAATCTTGAACGAGTAGATACCATGAAATTTTTAGGAATAACACTACATGAATCACTGGACTGGCATGAACATTCAAACTGCCTAATTAAAGTGATGAATTCCAGAATTTATCAGCTTAGATGCATGCGCAGTCATAGATATCGATAGCCTCCGAATGTTCTACTTTGCCGAAATACAATCACGTTTAATATATGGCATAATTCTGTGGGGTACATCCCCAGTCTTCAAAGATCTCTTCTTAACCCAGAAAAAAGTTATTCGAACCATCCTCAATAAGCCAAGGTCTCACCCCTGCAAGCCACTGTTCATACAACTTAACATTCTACCTCTAGCTTGTCTGTATATACTCGAGGTTGCCTGCTATATATACCTCAATAGAAATAATCTAATTGCACACTCCGACATACACTCCTATTCAACAAGGAATAACAACCTACTTTACCCACCTAAAAACACCTTACAACTAACCTACATTGGCCCTACAAACATGGGTATCAAGATTTTCAACAATTTGCCAGGAAGTGTCAGAGATTGTACCACTCACCTCAAATTTAGGAATAGCCTGAAAGCTCTCCTCACTAAACATATGTTTTACTCATTAAGTGAGTTCTTTGACTGTTTCATGAACTGATTTTAATTTTTTTTTCTTCATGTGAATGTGATGTATTTTATCCAAATGTTTGTAAAACTCATATTATTTGAGATTGTATTATTGTATTGTATTCACTTTATCTATAGCCTTGACGAATTATACACAAAATTTCTTGTCGATCATAATAAACTGATATTATTATTATTATTATATATTATTATCTTGTGAGCTATGATATATACAGTTTTGTCACTTTGACAACATACCTTAAGAGTTCTGGTTAGTATAGTTTTTCATCGGAATTCTTGAATCGTATGAATAATAGGCCTGTTTCAGTGAATTTTATTTCATACAAACCCTAATTAGTTTACTGTTCCTAACCGTTTTTCCCCAGAGCTCTGTACATTTTCAAATAATTATTGGAATTCACGATATTTCGTAAAATGACAAACGCGGGAAAACGCGTGAAGTAATCATCCGAAAAAATACGTCATACGTATCTATTATATCTCTTTCTGTAAGACAAGTGCAAGAATATTTCTAATTGTCATTTGAATCAAAATATGAAAAAAAGTTGCCCCCCTCAGAAGGTGCTCGCACTAGACTCTAGTGAATTTTCTGGACTGAATACTTACTGCAGACATGGTGGAATTAGTATGGTGTGCTACGACGCATCTTCGAATACGTCACTGCGAGTAGCAGTCTGAGCTCACAGTTATCAGTTCGCCCGAGTCGCCGTGACCATTTTGGTGCGAGTATAGACTAGCAATGACGTTATGCGCAGAGAAGACGAATTCAAGATACCTGAGTAGCACACCATATATATATTTCCACCATGACTGCAGATAACAGAGAATACAACACACACCTGGAGAATCAGATAATAAGAGGATTATCTTTGAATATTCGCATCCTGACTATTAGATGAAACAATGATTTGAAGATGAATGCGACAGAGGATGTTGACGTTAGGAAGTTAGGTTGATAAACTTGTATGGAGCTGTATTGAATCCCTAGAATGCCTCGGTGCAAACAAGAGTTACTTTGCTGTGGGTGCCTGGACACCAGGGGGGTGGAGAGCAACGAGAAAGCCGACATCCTCGCCAAACAGAGAACCAAATCTGTGTTCATAGGACCAGAACCATACTTTGGGATCACCGCAAGTGCGGTCAAATAAGCTATCTCGGACTGGGCGGAGGGGAAAAGACTCACGTACTGGTCAGAATTACCAGGATTAACCCATACGAAGGCATTTACCTAAACCATCGAAAAATATAACCAGGCAGATCCTAGAATGAAGCATGGGTAACACGCGGATTCTAACAAGACTTCTTACGGGACACTGTCGTCTAAGATACCACCTGGGAAGGATCGGTCTGAACCAACAAACGGACTGTCTGCTCTGCTGTGTGGAAGACGACACGGCTCAACACATATTATGTTCATGCCCTTGCTTAGAGAGACTGAGGTTCGACATATTTGGCTTTACTAATTTAGAACCTATCGATTTCAGGCCTAATTCAACCATGGACATTGTAGGAGATGTTGATTGTACAGTAAACTGTAACCTCTAAGGGTGAGCCACGATGTATTGCGTTCATTGGCCACGATAGACTCATCTGGGGTCGCAGAAGAGGAGCGGCATTCGCCCCACTCACATGGAACCTACTTAGGTTGACAACTCAGTTGACTAGGTTTTTTCGGAAACTTACTCTGGATCGTTAACTCGATCCAGAGAGGTCACGTGATAAAAAACTCGGATCACCTACTCGTGTTCAACGTTTACGAACGTGTCAGGTTAGGGACACAGAATTTAATCTTTTTTCTGTGGTTTCGTGAATTTGATAGACGAAAATGTTCACATTATAAGTACTTATTCAATATGGTTACGAATGTTTATATTTACCTGGTGATTGGTGAACGTGTCTCATATGTTCACACATTGTTTTCTTGGCTCATAAAACCACAAACTTCACACCTACCCAAATTCTCTTATTTATTTTTTCCAACTTGCAAACTATTTTATTATTATATTGTTGTCTTGAGGCGTTTTCGGAAACTTACTCGGGTTGTTCGGATCCCTAACCTGAACGTTCGGTTACCCAAACCTACCCAAACCGAGTTACCTACCTCTGTTCGGAAACTTGAATGATGCTAACTCGATCACTGACTCGGGTTGATTTTTCGTGACCCTACTCAATAGCAGGGTCGCCAGAGTTGCAAAGGACACCGCATGCGCATTACGGAATTTGAGTCAATCAAAAACGTGGGAGTTCACATTCGACGATAACAATAATAGTAAAATAATTTGCATGTTGGGAAAAATCACGACCGGTGATATACATCTTCTTTACAATCTTCATAATTTGATTAAAGTAAATAGTAATTCATTGAGAAGAGAATTTGGGTAGGGGTGAAGTTTGTGGTTATGTGCAACAACACATACGAGACAAATACACCAATCCACAGGTAGATATAAATATTTGTAATCAGATCAAATAATTACTTGACTATAATGTGACCATTTTCGTCTGTCAAATTCATGAAACCACAGGAAAAATATAATATTCACTGTTCCTAACCTGACACGTTCGTAAACGTTGAACACGAGTAGATGATCCGAGTTTTTTGTCACGTGACCTATCTGGATCGAGTTATCAACCCAGAGTAAGTTTCCGAAAACGCCTTTGGAGCGGTGAACTACCGCGTTTTTCGATTGGTAATGCGCATGCGGTGTCCTATGCGACTCTGGCGACCCTGCTTTCGGGTAG